GCAGCCGAGATGGCCGCACACGTCGAAGCGGCGACGCTGTCGTCCGCCAACGCGCGCCACGACTCGCGCCTCGACGTCGAGGACCAGCTGGCGCTCTTCACCCCGTCCGCGGCACAGGCCGACCTGGATGCTGCGCCCAGCACCGCACTCGTCGATATCGCCGGCGAGCTGTTCAGCGCCGAGGGCGCGATGTCGTTCCAGCCGCTCGAGCACAGTGTGCGTGAAGCGGAGGCTGGACAGGCGGATGCGTGGGTGGGGATGAGCGCGGCCAGTGTCGAGCTCCCGCCGAGCTATACGAGCGAGAGCCTGTTGTTGTTCGAGGCGAGTGGCGAGGCGTCGAGGCGCGCTGCGACGCAGGGCGAGAGCGCGGAGAGTGTAGCCGATTCGTCGTTTCAGCCGCACACGCAGGCGTAGACCTCTAGACAATGCCTTTGCAAACATCACACACATCGCGTCGTCCAGAGAAGAAATGTCTCGAATTCGCACCGATTCGCTTCACTTTTTCGCATCCCTCTGCCGCTTAAACTCGGCCACCCACGTATCCTCCGCCTCGCCGCGCGGCAGCACGACCAAGCTCAGCACGCCGTCGCGCATCACCAGCCCGTCTCTGTCCCGAACCCCGTCCTCACCCCTCGCCGCATCCGCCTCCTTGTACGCCCGGTCCATCACCTCGCGCAACGTCAGCTTGCGCCCGAGCTTGAGCAGCCGCTCGCGCCGGGTCGTCGCGTACACCTGCAGGTTTTCCGCGTAATACTCGCGCTTCGCATCCCAGGGTAGCGTACCGAGGGATGAGCGTGGGAAGATGGTATCGAGGTACGCGGAGAGCGGGGAGTCCTCGTGGAAGTCCGGGATGAAGTCGGACTGTGCGTGTTGCGGGTACATGAAGAAGAGCGGGAGGATGAGCGGTGTGCGGATCATGTCCGGTGGTGACCAGGCGGAGGAGAGCGGGACGGTGGGCAGGGCGGCGGGGTCGAAGTGCGCCGGCTGCGGGTTGTCCGGTGGCCGAGGCGTGGATTCGAGCCACAGCCCGCGCACGAGCAGCGCCTGGTGCAGCGTCTTTGCGAGCAGCTCCTTGCGCCGCGCGCGCTCTGCATTGTCCGCCTGGCGCCATTCGGCCTCGACGCG